CCTGCAATGGCCTGCTCCATGGACTCCGCGCTCTGGAATGTCTGCGTGTTGGGCGTCAAGAAAGGCCTCAGCTGTCCCGTCCCCCAAATGCACGGTTTAGGGTTTAGGGTTTCGACTCACACACTCGCAAAAGCAGGCATGGCGATAAGTGTCCGACAGGTGTTTAGGGTTTCTGGGTTAGGGCTTCTGGGTTCAGCGGTTCTCGGTTCAGTGATTTTGGGTTTCAGTTGCTGAGTTCATGCGCTTGGGGTACAGGGTTTCTGGGGGTTTTGGCCTTCTTTTTTCCCTCTCGCATGGCAGAGAACAAAGCTCACAGGCGAGGTGTTGGCCTTCTGGGCTTCTGGGTTCAAGGGCTTTCTGGGTTTACACTCTCACAACTCGGACATTTCTGGGTTTAGGGTCGTTTAGGGTTTCTGCGTTTGGGGTTCTGGGCTTTCTGCGAGACGTAAGTGACATAAGGGTTCAGAATTTCTGCGTGCAGGGGTTTATGGGTTTAGGGGCTCCTCAAGGATTCTGGATTTTGAGTTTCTGCATGCTCCTGGGTTAGGTTTGGGTGTGTCGGTTTCAGGGTGTAGGTTTTCTGGGTGTAGGTTTTTGCCACTCGCTAACACACCCATCGCTCTGAAACTATGATGCCTCCCTACAAGGCACTCCGGGGGTCCACAAGGCTTTTTAATGCCTCCCCCCCCCCCCCCCCCGTCACCCCCGCACAAGGCATTCTTTCGGAGGGGTGATATTGTTTAATCCGCTGTCCCAGCCAACCCGACAGCACACAGGGGCTTTTCACCAGACGCGGCCGGTGAGTGATGTGGATTTTAGCAATCCGACATCAGTTCTGTCCCGCTGCTTCCGGATCACGTCCACGCGCACACAGTACTGGACCTTGAAAACACAATGATGCCTGGTTCCTTGCAGCGGGGCACAGGGTGCTGGCTCTTAGACCGGGAAGTGGAGCTCTCAAAGTACTCCACTTCAACTCAGGCCCTCAAACCCCCGCCAACCGGCAGAACTCCCCTGCGATTTTTGTAGAAGTTGGGAATCCCGGTCCGGGTGAGACGACCCTCTAACCCACCGTATCTCGAACGGAAGCTGGATCAAATGCTGCTTGGGCCTTGCCACACCGCCAATCCTGACCCTCGCAGCACGCAACAAAATCGCGACCGTCTGCCAAAAAGAACTTGTGCAACTCGCTGTCTCAGCCTTCCCACACCAGTTCCCACACCCCCGGCTCGTCTCGCGGTGCGACTCTGTGCGTGTGTCTGTGTCTGTGTCCGTGTCCGTGTCGGTGTCGCTGTCTGTGTCTGCGTTCTGACCAGGTCTGCCCCGAGCTCTGCCTGTGGTGTCGTTGGTTGGTTTCGGGTTGCTGGAATCCGCTGCTATGCGCCCCACGGCGTGGTTTGTGCATGACGTCCCCGCTTGGTGCTCCAACTTTGCGAGCTTTTCTTCAAGGGTGAGTATGTTGTTCACAAGTTGTTGTTTCTTTCTTGCTCTTTCTTTCATTGGGCTTGGGGGACTGTTGAGGTCCCCCGGCCTAGTGGCCTCCCATGTGTTGTGGGGCTTTGAGGGGACGTAAAACGTGTTGGGAACTGTGTTTCGCATGTGGTTCAGTTTCGATATGATATCTAACTGCAACAACAGTATGATATCTGTAAGTCTGTAACAGTACGATGCGATGTGACATGATATCTAATGCAAAAGGGGTATTAATCACTGTGCGGAGATATCTCCTACGGTGCAGACTTTGGGACGCCTAAGGACTCGACAAGTAAGCCACGGGATGCGCTGTAGTATTCAACATTAGACCACCCAAACATAGAGTGGTTCCCCCTGCACACTTGTTCACTTTGTTTTGTCAACGAGTGCATTCCCCCCCATTAAGGCACGAAAAGGATAATTAAGTGTTGAAAGCTTGGGCTCGAATGCACTCCAGTCAGCCAGCATTCAGTTGAGTACCCGAGGCCTTCGCAGCGCACGGAGATGGCCTCGACCAAAAGGCCGGCAAAGCACAGCAGACCAGCTGCAAGGAGCCACCATGGCATCGAGGAGAAACATTAAGAGGCTAAATTGTAAATACAGGGCAGCGGCTGTTGCTTCCTCGTTCGCCGCCGGAATCCAGAACTAGTTCAATTTGAGAGCCTTGTCTGTCTTCAAACTTCATCGCTCTGCTTTTGCAGGTGCTTCCTAGTCATACGTGCTTGGGCGACACTCTCGCGTGCAAGCGAGCGCGCAGGAGGTAGCTGAAGGTAGCCTCAGACTACAATGCTCTTTCTTCGGTCAGACTCGAAGCCCGCAAGTCGCACACCTGGAGCTTTAAGCGCTACTTCCTCCCTCTTCCTTTTTTTGAAACCACGACCAGACCCTGCCACTTTCTCGATGCATGAAGTTGTTCAGGACTTGCCCAGGTAAACGACTAGTCTAATGGTTGTGAAATGAATTGTAATGAACAGCACCCAGTGCTCCGACACAAGAGTCCTCGTGCAGCGCGTGCTTCCTCCTTCACCAAAAACGCCACTCTGGATTTTGGCAGGACGTGCAGCAGGCAACCACTTCAGTCGGCCTTCGAATACCGAATCCCCGAATCACGGCATGCTCTGCCGAATGGACCTTTGAAGACGAGCCGAAGAGGCCTGTTCAACTGCTTGTCGAGTTCTTGTTTTCTATGGTTCTCCTCCGTCATCTGCAGTTTGGCTGTCAAGGTGGCAGCCTTCAGCTCCCTTGGCACTTTGATGTTCCATGTGTTCATCAAGCACAGGTTACAGAAGCAGCATCAACACTCTCTTGATAGCCGCATACAACTAGTGGCTGTTCTTTGGCCAAGCATCGCATCGTTTAGTTCCTCGGCTTTTGCCACTGCAGAGATTAGATGCATCGCACTTCCGAGATTCAGCATGCCGCACACGCGTTTGGGTGTGGGTTAAGAAGCCAACGATTACAATTCTGCAATCTCCCCACTCTTGCACACAAGAGTTGATCTCATCTGCATGCAGCTGGAGCTCCTTCGATTGACCCTCTGTGCTCGTCTTCACCTCACGATTTGGTGGGGTGAAGACTGTGAGACAGTAGCGGGCTCACAGAGACTGGCGGGATCTGCGGGTGCCTGTAGCAGCTCCGCGCTTCGCTGCTGCAGTTCGAAGCGCAAAGCTTCCCGTTCCTAGCATAGCTGAGACACTCAGGGATCGCATTTTCCCGCCCCTGCCCCAACGCCGACCCTGATGCTCTTCTCCTCGTCATCCCGTCCTACGAGTACCATGTCCTACTTGAGCAGCCCACCTGCTCCACCTGTATCCAGGCCGGCCTTACGCGTGTGGCTTGACCGAAGCCGAAAGAACTTGCCACATCTTGCAAGAAACATAGCTGCCTGCGAAATTGCATCGGATGCTGCTACGTGGACCTACTCTCGGGAAGTTCCAGATGGTGGCACCCCTCAAGCCCACAAGCTAGGAGCGAAATTGGAGTTCCGGGTGTTGGTGATTGGCGATGATTGCTGACGAAGGGCCTCACATTCTCGCGGATGGACGTCAGCACTTTGCCTTAGCCAGCTGGTGGCACATGCAAAGAACCATCCCACTGCTCCTGTCAGAGTTAATGGCTACTTCATGTCGGAATTGCCGGCACGTTGCCAACAGCAAGATTGGGCATCAGCAGCTTGGAAAGTAACGGCTGGCCACTCACTGGCGAGTTTGGCAGAGGAGCCGCCCCAGACTTTGAAGCATGCTGCATAAAAAAGTCCTAGCTGCAGTGCTGCAGAGACAGGATTTTCGACAAGACAAGTGCAGCGGCGGGGTAAGCCGGCACAAAGCCCATGCAGTCCTGAATGCATCGGCGGCAGAATGTATGACCTCGAGACGTGTTAGAATGCAGCACACGGTGGTGGTGCACAGTCCAAATATAAGCCTGGGACCATCGACCGTCATGACGGGGTCCTCGACAGGACGTCTGGGAGTCTAGGTCACAGAAACCGGTTTCACTGCCGCAGGTTCTTTTAATACTAGCCGTCCTCGAAAGTCTTATGACAGAGCGGGCAGTTTAAGCCACTGACCGACCTGAGACAGCTTCACCAGAAATATCACTGGGGCTCCCACGAGGATCGGTCTCGGGATGGGGAAAGGCCAAGAGTCGGCAGTGGCAAAGGCAGGAGCTCCTCCGTGGAGTCTGGAAAGCGGTGCGAGCGGTATAAGGCCTCCGGCTGCAAGTGGGTCTAACTAACCTCGAACCACTGCGGGGCTTGGGGTAAGTTGGTTTCGGTGCGGGTTTTCATCTCGTGATTCGGGGCTTCGGGGCTTTGGACGTGGCAGCTTGTGGTCCGAGTGAAGGATCCGCCAAACGGGGGACCTGGGGGCCCCGGCCTCGACCTCCAGCTGCTCGAGCTGGGCCTGTCCGAAGTCCATGCACTCCGGACGCTCGCGAAACCTTGCACCGACTCTGGAGCTGCAAGGGGACTGCCAATCGGGGCAACCTCATGAAACTAAACTAAGACTTAAACATAGAGCCAAGCAGCGAACCGGCAGCGACGACGGAAGGAGCTGGGAGCACGGCGTTGAGAACGTGCCCCTCGGCCTGACAATTTAGCCACTGAGCCGAGGGGTGGCACGCTAGCCTGCTCAGTATACTGTCCTCCTGCGCCGGTTTCTCTGCAAAGGCGGGCAGCGGCATCTCGCCATGGCTACTGCAGCCATGGCAAAGACAGGGAGCTGCCTTCGATTGCCAACCAAATCATGAACAAGCTAAACGCTGTGCGGCGAGTCAGCTACAGTCGTGTAACTAGTGAGTCTGCCGGCTGTTACAGGCATCTGACATGGTTTTGTACCGGAGCAGGTCACACTACTGCAGCCGGCGAGGTCAGCTCCCGTGAAATGATTCCCGAATAAAACCGAATGCTGCTAGTGTTGTCCATCCGAAATGATGTCGGTCCGGGCTCCGAGCTGACCGTCCAGCAATGTCCAGCAGGGCGAACATGTATAACACGGTCAAACATGCGATCTTCGCGCAGACATACGACTCAGACACGCGAAAAGATACCCTCGTTGCTGTGATCCCGGGCTTTCTGGCACACCTCAGAAGAGCTTGGCAGTCCGTGGACATGGCTCCATGCAGCAATCCTTTCTGGGACATGTAGACGACTGGGGCCTAGCTTAATTAGAAGACATGCTTTTTGGCCCGGCTGTTGAGCAATCACAAGCTTGTTTGTTCTGTCAGATGTTGCACAATGTCACGATGTGTCCCGATGCCTTCTTTGTGAGACAAGTCGCCACTCTCGGTCCCGCAAGTACGCATCACGTTCCTTGTTTGCGCCAGCAGAAGGACAGGGGCAGCTGCCACGGGCATGCTGCGACAACAAAGTCAACATGCAGTTTGCTGGCCCATCGTGCTTCGGGGGGCTGGCCACTGCAAAAAAATATACATACTGTTGTTTATCCGGGAGGCGGAATACTTTCCGTCAGCCACCGTCGGGTGACCAGCTCCCACGAAGTGTTGCCGCAGCTCCCCTCGTCTACTCTTTGTGACCTGCGTGGGCACGGGGATTAGAGGACCGACAAATTGCGGACAAGCTGCCAGTGCTGCACTGTCCCTCGCAGCTCTTTTCGCCACATCAGCTTCCTCTCAGCGCTTCTAGTCGACGCCTCGATGCTGAAACATGCTCTGCTTCACTCTCTGCTTCGGAGAAGAATCAAGTCGGCTCATGGCTCGCAAAATGCATGGCAAGCCAAGTGGCTGCCAGCAGTGAATGCAAACTTTGGCTTCACCGGGCGCTGCTTCCAAATCCAAAGCCAGGCCCTCGCGTCGGGTGGATTTCGCTTGCAGCTGAGTCCGGGAATGTGGCTTCCTGACCCTCCACAGCTCGGCCGCTCCTTGCAGCCGGTGGCACAGCGCTGCGGGGAGGTCGCCAGGCGCGGCAGTCGAGACGCAGAGGGCACGGCAGGCAGGGCCTGCGCCTTCTCGGGTAGTCTTGTGTGGCAAAATCATAGAACAAAGGCTGTGCCATGCTTCAGCAGTCGATGCTCCCTCGCGACATCTACCACGCAGGGCTTTCACAGCTCGGCCATTGACTGCGCTGAGGTGGTGAAGGTCATGCAGTCGTCAGTCGGTCGAACAAGGATGGCTTCCCGCAATCGGCTTTTCTCAGCTGATAAGGTACACTCTCTGGGCAAGGCCGTTGCACGGGGCCTCCACCCCTGGGCTGTAGCTGGCCTGCCTGGCTGGAGTCTGAGCTGCACACGATGTTTGACATCCTCAACCCAAGCCACTCCAGAACTTAGGTCCTAGGCTTGTCCGACAATATCCGACAACGACCAAAAAGCCGAGCTCACCATCATCCCAATGATGCAGAGAGTTCTTGAGTGAGAATCCGTCAGCGCCTCAAAGCAGGGCCGCACAAGGCCTCGTCCCAGGAGCCGATATTCAAAGATGAGTCCAGTGCAGCCTGAGAAGCTGAAGGGCTGAAGCGGTGCCTTTCCGGACATGGAAAACCGCTGCTTCCTTTCAGCTTGGCAATGCTCAGGCTCTGCGATTTAATTTTTTTAATCTAGAAAGCGTCCATGAGCTCCACCGCTAGCCGCTACCGGCCACCATCCTTGCTGATTCATGCCACAGCTCTAAGGTATACTTGCCTTTGCAGCGCTTCAAGCTTGCTTTCGTAACATGCAGCCGAAACATCTGACCTTCGCGACCGCCTCTGAGGACTATATACTGAAGCCATGGTGCGAACAGAAGCTGCACAATGAGTTTCCTCAAGTCTGTTAACAAAGCTGGGTCGGAGCCCAAGAACAGGACAAAGCGAAAGCACGCAGTAACCACAAATTGCAACACAAGCAACTCCCCTTTCGAAGCAGGAGAGAGGCCACCGAAGTGCCTCAGCAACCGGCTCATTAACAAAACAGGTAGATACAGGCTCTCCGGCAATAAAAGACAGTCCGCCACTCATCTGAGCTAAGGAACATCGTGTCATCGTTAGGCACGCCGTAGGCTGAGCCAGCAAAGCCGCCGAATCGCGAAGCCTTATATCTACACACGACACATGTGATCTCGGGTGGTCGTTATCTTCACCGCCTGCAAACAGGTGGCACCAGGTGTGGTGCTGCAGAAAACCAGAACACGGCCTGCGCGTGGCGTGATGCCTCAGAAGCACATTGCGGGGCGAAACGGCCCGTATTCATTGATGATGCCCCAAGTGCCGAGATACTGCGTTGTAGATTTGGGAAGCAGGTGTTTCCACCGGAACTGCTCAGATAAATCAGCATCGTCACATCGCCTTGCGCAAGAAGTGTCTTCCAACAAATCGTACAGTCGTACAGCATAGGGTATCTTATCAGAAATCCGGTGCTTGCAAACGAGGCACTAGTGTCAATGTGAGGTACTTGTGACTCATCTTGCTGGTAGCGCACAACCTGCTTGGTCGAAACGTTCTTTGGCAAGCCCCTGCTACTCGACTTTCATCCTGGAAGGCTGCTATGTGTAGGCTGCAGTGGTACAAGCTGCACATCCCGTGAGCAGTCCTTGCCGACGCTTCATGATGTTGGCTCTGCTTTGTCTTTATTGTGGTTAGCATGCATGAGTTGGCCAGCCAACAAGCTTCACGCTCTGACCATGACACATGGTGTTGACGGACTCGTCTCTCGCGCCAGCTGGTGAAAGCTGGTACAAGCTAGTGCATCAAGCTGCTGTGGTGTCCCGCAGAATCCTCGGCATCACAGTTCGCAGGCGACTGTTACAGCGTTGCCTTCCAGGATGGAAGGAATCTGACGGAATGGGGCTCCACGCGATCTGGTTGCAGACTTGGTCTCCACTTCGGCAACTTGTCACTGGCATGGAAAGGTCGTGACTCCGCAAAGGGAAGTCCCTCCACTGGAGCACCTGCATTCTCAGAAAGAACAACAGGACCGTGCATCCAATCAACAGACGACAAGGCAAGCCCACCTTTCGCAGATGTAATGCATGTGCACCACTCAAGCTGTCCGAAAGCAGCTGCTTCGTGCATGTCGAGGCACCGAGCACATCCACGACAAGCGGCGACAACTCGGCGAGCATGGCCTTCATACCCCTAGCCTATGCAGGCCCAGCCAAAGACCCCCAACCTGCCCAAGAACTCGCTCCTCCGGAACCCGCCACCGTGCCGCGGACTTCGCGAAGCCACTCCGCCGCAGGTCCTCCTGAAATTAAAACAAAAGGTTTCGCGGTCAGCGTTAGGCGTTTTGATTCGGTTGAGAGAGGGCAGGATCCAGCGTCATCCTGGGAGTGCTAAGTGGTCACGGCGGTGGGAGATCGGAGAGACCATTTAGCCGGTTACACGCAGATACACGTACGGTCGGCGTGGCTGTTTTGCTACCGTGACACCGGGTTCCACTGCGTGCACCAAGCTTGACGAGCGACAGAAGCAAGAGCGATGTCCTCAGCACGCGCCGAGCGATCATGATGTTTGTCGGCAACTCTAGCAACTTCGGACGTGAGCGCAGGGCTAAGTATGGCGATGTCGTGCTAGACTGCCAGATTGTTTCTTCAATTCGAGTCGGCACAACTGCGGCCTCGAAGCCCAGGCACCCTCCGGGAGGAGCTCCTTCCTCTGCACGGCCAGCCACAGGAAGGAACGCAGCGGATCCGAGCGATACCTGGGCCGCCCAGAACGGAGTGAGTCGTGAAGGGCGCACGCCAATCAGTAGAGGACCCGGGTAGCACAAACTGGTGCATTGATACATCACAGGCGGTGAGGGCAAAGATGCGAGTGGGAATGCTGGCTGCAGTTCGAAAGGCTGGCGCGGGACAAACTGGAGCGCACCAGCATACATCATGTAAACCAAGAGCTGGGCGTCCTCCCTGGCAGGGATGCTGCAAGAATTCGGACCGCAAACGCCAGATGATGGCCGTGCCAGGCCTTGCGGCCCTCCGTTGGTCAAACATATCGTCCACGTAGGCGTCCTCGGATTGGGAAGGTTCGGTGCTACAACAGGTGTGGATACAGCATTTGAAGAAGTTCATTCCAGGCTTCCACTTCATCCAAGATTTTTCGTGATGCCGACTGCGCAAGGCTGTCTGCCCAGGTCTCTCGGACTTAACTTAAAAGAAAGCATGAGCTGTGCTGTACAGGCCTCGCGAATTAGGCTGACTCTGCTTTGTGCTAGAACTGCCAGAAGTGCTTATGACTGCTTCTGTGCTTTGCGGCGCTGCTTCAGCTCCTTCTTACGCCGGATCTTCTCACCTGGGAGGCAAAGATGGCAAAACTGACAATCGTAGCCGCTGTCGCAACCACCCTTGTACACGAAGGCGCAGGGCTTGCAGTTACCATGGTAATGGCCCGCAGAGCCACGCGTTGGCAGCTCTGCAGGATTGATGGCACGCTCTCCGAGCCCGACTACGGGGACTGGGACTGGGACGACTGCGGCGCGACCTTCTCCTGCATCTGTGTCCGCAGTGCTGGCAGCACTGCTATGGAGCGCGTCTGTCTCTGAACGGCTGTCCGCCTCTCGCTCAAACGGCTCGATCACCATAGGTTGCAGATTCTTGGAGCCTTCGAGGCCCGGAGGCAAAGGCACAGCCTCGCCACTCCTGTTCGGAGGTTGCTGCAGCTGTGCGCTCATCTTCAGGGTCTCTCCAGGGCAATAGTTGCAACCGTCAGGTTGAACTCTGGCTCCAGCGCGTGCTGGTGCCAGAGAGTAGGTGCCGCCTACGCTGGCAATGGTCATCGGGGTGGCGTACTCAACGTTGCTGGCATAGGCGTACATGACAAGCAATCTTTGTGCAGGGAGGAGTCGGGAGCTCGTGCCAACAAGTCTGCAGCACATGATTGCTTCGGACTTCATGATTTTTCAGTGACTGGTCGATGCATCAGTTGCTGCTGCGAGCCCTACCGGCCGAGACTCAGCCGAGACTCCGTCTTCCTCAGCAGGTCCATGTCTTGTTCTTCCAACAAACGCTGGAGCTGACGAGTCTTTGCTCCGTCACACAAGCCATCGACTACCCAAATCAGTGGGTTTTCCGATACCTTAGATGCAGGCACTGCCGGCATGGGGCCAGGGAAACCGAGGACTTGTGAAGACCCTGCACCCCAGAGTCTCAGATGTTATCATTGGCGAGCTGCCACGTCGACATTGATTCTCGCAGCTGCAAGACTGCGGCACCGAGGAATCGGACTCACTGGCGTATTGCTAGGAAACCTCGGAACGAAACTTCTCCATGCAAGAGGCACAGGTCACCCGGCATGACGCGAGCAATCCAAATCTGCTTGAAGCGACTTCATGAAGCTGAGACTAGCGAAATCCTACTACAAACCGAGGAGAGCTGCCCTGGCTTGCAGGCCGGTTGCCGACGATGCCTTCTAGCGACTGTCCAAACTGCCGTAAGGCACATCCAGGTGCAGGAACCTGGGCTGCGGCTGCCGCCTTGACTTTAAGTCTACCCGCGATCCATAGTAGCGGCTACCGGCAAGCCTCGATACACAATTTTCAGAGTTTTCACAGCCATGTCTGGCAATGGCCGGTGCAAGTGCCATGGGTGCCACAGCACATAGTGTGATGCTACTCCCAGATGTGGAGCCAAGACACTCCGTACGTGATGCGACGCCTGCACCAGGGGCATTCTCCTGGTCACCGTCCTAGCAGCTGGCTGTTCTTGCCGAAGGTTAGAGAAAAAGGCAGACACTGCCCTGACAACAACACACACAAGCTATACCAAAGCCTGCAGCAACGATGAACCTGGCAGGGATGTCGCCGGCAAGACGCCATGGCGTCCGTCTTTGACATCGTACATGCCATTCAGATGAGACCATGCTCGCAAAATGGATGGCTGCTGCAAGCGACTTGGGGTCTGACTGCTGTGTCAATATTTGTAGTGGTGCGCTTGTCTTGCATTTCTGCTGTTGTATGATTTGGGGCAGATCAGGACGCATTGGCTGACTGCACTGTTGCACCACTAGGAAGCCTTGCACAAATGGGCTGCATGAGCAAATTGACAAACTGGGGCAACTGATTGCAGCTGCTCGTACCGCTGCATGCCAGCAAGTCCGCGCAAGCGGTTTTTGTTGCCCGCCTGAGACATGTTCCACTGGCATGGGTCGGCACCATCCCTACAGCGTATCACTAGCTGCAACGGGAACCACAGAAGGTTGGCACAAACCTCCAGACAGTGGAAATGCCGAGCCTCTGGTCTTTATCCGCCGTGTTTGCGGAGGGGCTATGTGCCAAGTTGCAACATAGCTGCAGAAACCTACCAGCCACCTTCCGACTGCCCTACGCTCGCTGAGCCAACTTTACCCTTCTTGGTGTGCGTCGCGTCCCTGACATGAAGGCAGCTGTCAACGGACTGTACAAGCTGTGAAACCTGACGAGCCAAAGGGTGAAAGAAATGCAGGACTTGCTGCAGCCTGGCCATTAATCACGAGACTAGCAGAAACAGTTGACTGATTCACGGCTTTGTCTTTGCAAAACTGTAATGCATCTTGATTCCGACATTCGCGCCTGAATTGAGCGTCAGGCTGGGTACCGAAACATTATCGGACTCTGGGGGGAGTCGCGGTGAGCGGCTCTGCACCACCTCAGTCCTGCACCATAAAAAAGAAGCAGAGAGAGAGAGAGAGAGAAAGACACACTGCGGTGACTATCGCCTTACAAAACCTCATGTGGCATGTTTGAAGACCCGACGCGATGAACGCCAGCCCGCCTCTAAGCGTCGGCTGCTTTGGTCTCAGCCTCTGCGGCCTTCTTGGCGTCCTGTGTCACTACCACTGCATCGCAAAAAAAAGAACAGACATTGCAGGTTTTTGTTGGCCTTGGCACAGCAGAAATCCTACAGTATGCAACGTGGCCTCTTTTCAAACTTCCACTTGTCGCCTAATGCCCTATGCCGTTCCTTCAGAATAGCTTAAGCATGTGCAGCACCGGGGAGCTTCGCTAGCCCCGATGCTGAAATAAGAGAAATGATTTGAAAGCACAGGTGTCGCTTCGCGCAGCAGAAGGCTCCCGAATCAAGCTCCACACTGCAAAGTTCACCAGTTTCCTGAGCCTTTCAGACCGACCAAGGAGGTGTTTGTTTAACTCTTGTACTAAATCCTGCCAACATGCCATTGGCTCTCAGGTATCGAAGAGTACTGGTGCAACCTTGCAGTCACTGCAATGTCAAGGGACTCTGCTCCCGGCTGGCCAGCCGAAAGATCCGAGGATGAGGGCTTCGCCACTTGACCACGCCTCAGGCCTAGGCCTAGCCGGCACGATTCACAAAGTCCGCTCCTAGATGCCGACAAGATATGGTGTTCTTGGGCCGGAAGAGGTCAAAGCTGGACTTTTTGGCCCAAAGAAGCTCTGCCTCGTTGTGTGCGATCATGTCATCCTTCAAGCGACTGTCAAACTCGTCTCGGGTGTCCACGTGGAGCTCCTTGTACTGCTTGGTTTTCTGATCAATAAAACCTGTTTGAACTATGCGCTGGTAATGCTTCACATTCTCGAACTTTCCTAGATAGAAGTGCTGCTTGGTCGAAGCCGGCCCCCGATAGCCATAATCCAGCTTTTCCTGACCGCCTGCTGTCACTCCGCCATCCAGCAGATGTGTCCAGAACTTATAATGCGTGTCAGTGTTGCAGAACTTTAGGTCATGCGGAAGCTTGGACTGCATGTCCCTATCCTGCTTCTCATAGAAATGCTTTTTCTTCTGCTTGTTCCAGCGCCCCCGACCACCCACATCTGTCAGCCACACGCGGTGGAAGACGTTCTGCCCTTCAGGGGTCTCCTTCTTGCCCGGGCAAGAGCTGTGCGACCAGGGCTTGGGATGTGGATGCGCGACCATCGAAAGCTCACGCTTGTTGAGACTCCATGAACGGTGGAAGGGCCTCTCCTGGACAGTGGCGTTGCCATGCACTTTCGTCAAAGGCATAGGGTTGGAAGCCAAGGCCGCATGCTTGGGCGAAGGCTCGGGAGAGAAGTCCGGACGCAGCATTACACGGGGCCGCATTTCGGATCGACACCCCTGCGGACCCTCCGCAACGGTCGAAAGCGTGCTCATAAGCATGGCGGCAAGAGTATGGCGCTTTGGCTCTGAACGACAAAGCTGGAAAGTCTCTTGGCAATAAGCTTGCTCCAAAAGCTAAAGGTACCGGATGTGCAGACGTCTGAAGGTCTAATGGCTCGTTACTACTTGTCACTGAGGCAGTTGTGCGACAGTCCGCCGTACCTTGCCTGAGCAGCCTTGAGCTTGATCTTTTCCGCTCTTGTCTGAACGTACTTGTGCATGTCGGCAACACCTGCGGGTTTTTCCTTTCCGACAATGAGATGCTGGCGTTTGGTAGTTTTTCTGCAAGCCGTGAGTGCCGCATGCCTTCCACCTCTCTCATCCTCTCTCAATTTTGCCTCCTGCATTTATAGATCCAAGAACCTGCCTTGCAAGCCTCAGAAGCTTACAATGCTCCTTACACTTGCAGCAGCTGTCCACACATGCTGACTGCTTGCCGCGGCGCCATCGTCATAGTCAATCTTCTGTGCCTGGCCCGAGCAAAATAGCCGAAATACTCCGGCATGCAGAAAGACTCACAGGACAGTCTTGCGAAGCACGGCTCATCACAGCTCGAAGCACAGCCTGGGCAAAATCGGCTGCGCTCGCCTCGCAGAGCTGAAAGAGGCCCCAAAAAAAAAGTTTTACGACGACGCCTAAGCCCACGGAGGAAGCATGTGGCCATTGAAGATTTCGCATGGACTCACCGAGTAAAGGTAAGAATTGAAAGCTTGCATTTTGCTGACTCGTCCTGCCCTGCTCACAGCATCGCATGAGTGCTGAACCACCTCTCCGTGACAGCCCTGTCACGAGATAGCAAACTCTTGCACCACGATGGGCTTCACACCTAGGCCTTGCAACCTCAACGTAAAGAAGACAGGCAACCCATTAAACCCTTCGGCAGGGAGCTCAAGGCACAGCCGCACAGACTCTAAATCCTGGAAACGCAAAGTGCCCGAGCTCTCCGAGAGCCTCGTACTCGCCAAGGAAGCGCCTGGCCTTCGCCCGAGCCCGGAAAGCCTCGACATGGCGCACTTCGTTCCCTCACCGCACTCTTGGCTGAGTTGCTTTACGCTTTACGCTGATCTTCCGACCTCGACAGTCCTTACACTGTCTGTGACCGAGGGGCTTAAGACCCGTAAGGCGACTACAGCTTAAATTTCGTTTTCGGAGAGTGATGACTGGCTGAGCTCCCGAGAGGTTTTCATCGCCGAGAATCTTTGGCACTGTCAGGATTGAGCTCCAATGCCAGCGATGCATCAGCGACCACAGCTTTGTATCGCTTCTGTTTCCTGAAAGCTTGGTGGAAGACACAGATGCACAGATGCTGGCACTAGGTACAAGCGCGGACGTGTCGATTAAACGTTGCTGAACAGGAGCTCACCTGTAGCCGAATGTCCCGAATGCCTCTGTGAGGTAACATTAGCTGCAACCCCCTCTTGCGAGCTGGCCGTCACGTCCTCGAGCAGACTAGATTTAAACATGCTGAAAACACTTGCAGCTGATCCGGAAAAGCTTGCGGTGAGTCACACAGACACAGCTAGGAAGCCATGCAACATCTAGAGAGAAAACCGGTCACAGAAGAGCCGGCTCGACACAAAGAGGCACAACGGGTCAATACCAATGCTGGGCTTGTCTTTCGACGGACAGACTCCTTAATGTCAAGACAATGATACAGAAACACAGTGGGCATCTGCGTAAAGACATCTTGTAGGAAGATGTACCGACAGGTTGCCGCAGGAGGTTTGGCTGGACCTCCAGGTGCTCTGGGCTTCGGATGTCTCCGGTGAAGTCAAGTCTCAGCAGCATTTCTGCTCGCTTCGCGACCATCATCGCCGAGACCTGACTGAAACCCGGAACAAACTCAGAACTTCTGAAGGGAAAGAGGCTTAGCCCCGCATTCTCCCAAGCCCAGGCGCTCCGCCCAGCATCATCGCCTCGGTGAACTTGGCAACGGCCGTTTTTACGTCGCCATCTTCCAGTGCCTGAGCTGCAAGTAGAAAAGTTCTGGGGAGTGGAGCGGCGATCTTCTAAACCCGGTCATGACTCACGAAAGGCGCCGAGGATCGTCTGCGGCCTGGCTTTTCAACTCGCCCTGCTTGTCGGCCTCGGCATCGCCCAGCTCCTGCAAACTGCAAACAGGCACAGTTCTTTGAGTCATGTGCGCAGGCGGCTCTGGGATGCCACGTCGTCACACTCCATGCATGTTGCGACACATTCACAGCCGGGCAATAGCTCCTTGGTGATGAGGTCCTCAGCCGGCATGGTATGCACACCGGCTTCCCCGGAGCACGTCCCGACTTTATGATTTGCACGTGGTTTGCAAAAGAGGCTCTGCAGCGGGCTGCTCTGGCAACGGCTCCTCCTCGACAGTCATCGCAACCTCCTCCTGGGACCACGAGGGACGAAGGGCCGGGCTGACTGGCTGCCGAGTCTTATGGGTGTACTGCGAAAATGCCCGATGACTTCCATGCTGTATCGCCAGCCCTTTGATTCTAGAAACCGAAAGACAAGAACCTGACCACTGCGTGCCCCTACCTTCGAATGGGTGGGACTTTGCTTTCACACGAACCCTGGCAAGGCGCATCGTCTGACAGCACCACTGGCGGCGCCTGGAGATGCGGGTATGGTGAGAGGAGCAAAAACTCGCTGCTTGTCGCGCTAGCCAGCCAGACGGAGCATGAAACTCCTTGTCCAGCCTCCGGCTCGGGAGGCACTGCGACTACGAGCTCCATGGTCCTTGGATGCAGCAGCCACGCTTCTCATGGAGGTAACGAACAGGGCTCCGGTTGCGGCGTGATCGGAAATGGCTCTGCCTGCAAGGTTGCCGAGCATCTTTCCACTTGCCATGCCTTCGATGTCCTGCAGTTTCGTGACCTCGTCCAATGGCTCGCTGCCATTGAACGACACAGCCTGAAATTTCCTGAGCTTGTCAGTAGCCAGAGCCTACATCAGTGGCAGCTTGAGCACGATGAAAACATGAGGCAGCGCGGCTGGAAGAAGCTTGCATGCCAGACCTTCGACAAATGCCCGTGCTGCTCCTCAAATTCTGGCAGGACTCGGGTGCGCCATCACGATCAAAGCAATTCGTTGTTTCAGCATGTTGACCGTCCTTATGCATATCCATCATGGCATCCTTAAACTTCGACTTGCCGTCGCTACATCCACAGAGCAAGTCGGGCCACTCTCTTTTGTGTTCGCGTCGCAGCTCCCCAAAGACTAAGGCTCATGCAGTTTGTGGGGTTGAAGCCTTTCAGGATTCCGTCTACTGCGAGACTGGCTGCCCGAGTGAAACGTGGTGAGTGCAAAGGTCCTTCTTTCATGGACACCAGCACGGGCTCATGTCCGTCTCCAACTTGGCACGCTGCTTGGCATTGTATGACACGGTCGGCTTTGACAGAGCCTCGGCAATGGCATCCGGGAGGTGGCTCGACCTCGCGTTGGACATGGGGGCGATCCGCCCGTTCTCCTCCCTGTCGTCTTCCGTGAAGCTCCGCCAACTTGGAAGCAACTGCTTCGTGACCAACGCTGGAAAATGAGAGTCAACATGAAAGCGCTCCGCCCTGGCTTTCCAGAAGTGCGCGCGGTCCTCGGTAGGCATGCGGTCTTCCTCTTCGCGGCTAGCTGGCTTCTCTCTTCGCAGGGCTCTGCGCTCGCTCTTAGATTTTGTGGGCCAGACATCCGATATCACCGTCATCTCATATCTTCGTACAGGGGCCTTCTGCACACGATCAGATATGGACATACGCGATCCTCTAGGCAGTTGAACCGCCAGTCGTGTCTGTGGCTCGCGATTGAACTGCCAGGTTCTTCCTGTCATTCCTCCGCCGTCTAAGGGGCCACAGTTCTACATCTTCATGAGCTGCCGGCTCTTCAACTAAGCCTACGCTTGAGCCTAGCAAGCTGGCGAGCCACGTATACAAAGCGAACATGACTTTTTGCGCGCTGTGCCAACAGACCTGTTGATGAGCAGAACAAGCAGTGGTAGCTGTCCAAAAGAGCTGAGAACAGCCGGGCGACGCGTGACCCTCAATCTGCAACGTGAGGTCGTCACCGGCCTTCCACTTAGTTCCCTTCTTTCCATGGATGGCCTCGTTGTCCATACCTCATGCCACTGACTAACCAAGCCCGGCCGGCCCTAGATTTGCAGTCAAGTGGCTGAGAATCTTTACTTTGATCGTCCACTGACTGTCTGTCATGGCGCGCGGGGATCTATGCCAAGTTTCTGGGACAAAATCTCGTGCACAAAGTGCTGCGGCATGGAAGCACAAAGCGAGTTCGACAAAGCCTGCCCAATACGCTATACTGCTTGAGACACCACTTCAAGCACTGTGTCAGTCGCTGCGCTGCCTCCCTGGATGAACACTGTGTGTCAACTGTGGGTCGTTGGAGTGGATGAAAACAACGGAGCAGCAACAGAAGAGCCAGCCTGCAGGGTCTGAACGGGGCCCACCTGCAGCAGGACCAAGCTGAATTTCTGCTCCTCGCCCTCGCTGAGTCGCCTCCATGAGAGCAGTGTCTCACAGAATTGGAATCGTCCGTGATGCAACCCACGCCACGGCCCCAAATCAGAAGGGCCCAGCCACCTGAGGTGCGCCACAACTCGCAGAAGTCCCGGAGCCGGGGTGGTGGCCGATGCATTGGCGGCAAAAGACCTGAGAGCAGCATGGCCGGGGAGGCGGCCGATGGTGTGATTCTATTGTTCTGCGGTCTGCGTTCCACTCAAGTCAAACACGAATCGTCGCGATCCAGGCTGCTGGCTTCTCGTTGATTCTGCCGTCCAGCGCCACCTGTTGAGAGCCCCAGTACAACATGTAGCTGTTGCCAGGCAAAGCAGCATGGCCAAGGCAAGCGCCCAGCCGTGAACGAGCTGCACCTCAGGTAGAATGGGCATGTGATGGCATGTATAAGTTCGAAAAGGCTTCCCAATGTCACAATCGAGCGGCATATTCACGGACAAGGAGACCCGTCTGCAGCTGAAACTTGAGCGTGTAGAAGCCCTGTCGAGAAACGAGGCCCCGGGCTTCTGCGGCATCGCTTGTTTATGGCCTCCCAAGTCTTGCCAGCAAGGATCAGGCCGGAGCTCGGGATGTCCAGTCCTTAGCTCCAATGGGAAAACGTGGAGATCGGCCCAGCCTAATCCCAGGGCCCCTCAGCCCCTGGCTCTGAACCAAGCCGAACTGATGTTCCTCGTAATGAACCTGGCCGGAGGATGGTCTAGGGCGACGGAGGGCGACGGTGGATGGCCTCAAGACACACACGTCTGCAGCCCTCCTCAAAGCCTGGCAGCCGCACTATCGGCACGCTCTCAAAGGGAAACCTCTGTTGCACGGGCCGATTCAACTGCATCTCGCGAGCAGAGGCAGAGACTCAGTGACAGAGCTCTCAAGTTGGCCCCGGGCTGCTGCATGAGCCAGGAGGACATCCAGGGGCCGCCCCCTGCATCCTCATGCTGAGAAAACACACTACTTGCATCCGTTTATGCAGGTCAGCAAGCGCTCAGTACTGTAGCGGGAAAGATTGGAATTCTCAAAAGCTGCCCGATTTCTCGCAGATCCAAGGTTCAAGACGAGGCTGTAAACGCTGCAGGGCACGCGCATAGAACGGTCACGAAGGATTGCTGGACAGCTTTACACAATTGGCCGGGCGATTCGTGCTTGCACAGCTCCTCGTTGTCGACCTCCCATCCCGCCGGCTTGTGCACGCAGCACATGTCGGGCCTAGCATTTGACACGTGTTTTGTTGGACGGCTCCGAACGTGCACCGGGCTGCATGGTCACACATGTGCCCTTGCAGAAATCTAGCACTGCACTTCGTACATGCAGACCATAAGCTTCAACTCCTCCCACCCAAGCTCAGCACACTGGGCTTGGGTCCCAGCAAATCTAGGCGTAGCAACGGATCTTCGCCAGGATGGTCCTCGCTATGTGGATGCATGGGCAGCTGAAGCTGCAGTCATGCAAAATGAGCTTAGCAGGCTGTCTCGCGATAGTACGCGTAAACATCTTTCCGTGGCATACGCCCCCTCCACGCACGGCGACCAAAACTGAAACTACTGAGAGCAGATACAACCCACGATTGAATGAACAACAAAACCGGTGCGCCTCCGGCCCAACGCTCTCGATCTTTGCGGGCGGGGGACGATGCGGACCAGCCCTGGCACATCTTCTTGGATTCATTCGCAAAGGTCGCAAGCTGCGGGCTCGGCGTAAAACAGCAGTCATACTGGGTTCCTGGCATTTCTGCGTCCTTTGCGCGGCCGAGGTGCTGCCTCAAAGCACAGAGATCACCATCCCGAATCCCAAAATACC